GAGACATAGACAGAGAGAAAGTGGAAGAGAGAAAGAGACAAAATATATAGAGAGAGAGAGAGAAAGAGAGAGAGAAACACAGAGAAAAAAAAAGAGAGAGAGAGAGAGAGAGAGAGAGAGAGAAAGAGAGAGAGAGAGAGAGAGAGAGAGAGAGAGAGAGAGAGATAGAGAGAAACACAGAGAGAAACAACACAGAAACGCACACATACAAATTTATTTTTTTTTAAACAAAACACACAAAAAAACCAACATTCCTCACCTAGGCTCTCCCTCTCCACCTTGTAGGCCTGGAGGTACTGACGCCGCTTGTTCAGGAGAATGTGTCGCAGCCGCTTGAATTGGTCGATGTACAGCGCCTGCAGACGGATCAGCTTGTCCCGCAGGATCTGGGCCACCTCCTCCGTGGTGTACACGCCCGCATACCTGATAGTTTAGTCGAGTTTTTTAGTTTTAGTAGAGGTGTCACGGCGCTCGCAACAGGTCGTATGAGCCTCAGAAGATTAGAGGTGTTACAAGAGAGTAACAAACATAAAAAAGAAAAAGGAAAGATAAGGACGATAGACGTTTGACAGGAAAGAAGAAGCAAACCACATCAGAGCACCTGCCAACCAACCACAGTAGAGTTTTTACGGCGCTCGCAACTGCATAAGGTCATATGAGTGCCAAGGGGTGGATGTCAAAAGAGAAGTCCATACAGGTAATCAGGTTTACTCTGCTCACCTCTCTTTCTTCAACAGCACAAAGTCTGCTTCGACTATCAAGGTACCCCGGAAATAGCAGGTCACAAGAGTATGACAAACATACAAAAGAAGTAGAGGACCAAAAGACGATATTAAGGATTAGGAAAGAAAAGGCAGCAGTTCCCTGTTGAAGTTCTGGCACAGTTATGAGCATGACATTGATGAATCAGCCCATTTACAATTCTACTGAACATAAGAACATGTTAATGTCCCCCCCTTTCAGAATGGCCTTAAGACACTTCAGTCAGCAGCACCGCCGGGGTGGGGGGGTAGGTTTTTTTTGTTTTAGTAGAGGTTTTACGGCGCTCGAAACTGCACAAGGTCATAAGAGCACCAAGGGGTGGACGTCAACAGAGAAGTCCTTACAGGGAATCAGACTTACTCTGCTCACCTCTCTGGCTTCAACAGCACAAAGTCTGCTTAGACTATCAAGGCACCCTGGAAACAGTGGGTAGGAAAGAAAAAGCAGCAGTTCCCTGTTGTAGATCAGGCACAGTTATGAGCGTGACATTGATGAATCAGCCCATTTACAATTCTATTGTGCATGAACGAGAAATGTCCCCCCCTTTGGGAATGGCCTAAAGACACTTCAGTCAGTGGCACCGCTCCGGGGGGGTGGGGTGGGGAAGTTGCATACTTAAGACACATTGACACAAATAATAATAATATCACAATAAATAATAAATAACATTTGTATACAGCCGTAAGCAGACAAACGCCTTTAAAAAAAAAAATTCAAAGCAGTTTCAAGAAAAAGAGGATTTTTGTCAGCGTAACCATTAAAAAATAGAGTTCTTCCGAAATTTGAAGTCAAATTTATTCAAAAACTAATCAGAGTCTCACTTTGATTTTTTCACACAGATAGAGTAACTTACCAGGCTTTCGATTTAGCAAATAAAAAATTCTGATGCCAAAACGAAAAAAGGCCTTTTGCCAGCTTACGGCAGCATAGTGCATATCCCCACTCAATAGCAAGCTCTTTGCGTTTTAATAATAATAAAAATAATACATAGCATTTGTATAGCGCATATCGCCGCTCGACAGCAAGCTCTTGCGCTTCACACTATACTATTACCCCAGAAAACCATAGAACACTCAGAAACATTCTCAGCTTCCCGGGAAGCGCACAGTTTTCAAGCAGCTGATTAAGCGCTCAAACAGTAACAAACTGACAGAGTGACAGGATCTTTCACTGTCACAGGAGAGACGCAACGAGAAGCCACCATGAACCTGTCCACAGAGCACCAACCATACTGTCCCAAGGACAACAGGCCAACAGTCCCGATCTGTCTCTAAGGAAGCACTCACTTGAGCATGTCTTCTTGGTCACTGTCGATACTCTCTGCGTCGCTGTCTCCGTCATCCCGCCAGGCCTGCTCCACCAACGTGGGCTCAGTGTCCGAGTCACTTGAGCTCGCGTACTCTACAGGAAGAAAAAGACAAAAGACTTAACTCACTTGAGCCTCAGCTATCTTGCACCCATAAACAATTGCAGCCTGAACTTCACCCAATTTTTAACAAAAAGAAACAAATGGGTCAAGTGTTGGCTCGCTGCTTCCCGAAGCTTGTAACCAAAAAGTTTTCATCAAGGTAAGGTTATAATAATAATAATAATATATAACATTTATATAGCGCATTTCCAAAAAAACACCCATTTTTCAAAAACCTTTCACTACTTTCTTTCTTCTCATGCAATATACATTAATGCACACACACACACACACACACACACACACACACACACACACACACACACACACACACACACACACACACACACACACACAGACTATTTTCATCCAGACATAGGAACAGAACAACTATAATGAAAAATAACGTTAAAAGCTTATGAAGGATAGGCCTGTAGGAACAGAAAATGTTTAAGATGTCTTTTGAAGCTATCAAGGTTACCTTTCATTACTTTTCTCACAAGCCTCGGCTGTCCCTCTCATAACATTCTCTGATTCCTCTTTGAAAGACCTTTTCAATGATATACAATACAATTTGATAAAGTTCGAAAATCTTCTTAAAAATTGGGAAAATGGGAATCCTCTGTAAGTCCTCACCACGAAATTCACCATATATTTAGCAGGGTGAATTTCCTTCCATACAGAAAAATCAGTACGGCTACCATTTAATAAAGTAACTCAAGGCTCCAACATGTAAAGAAAAAAAATAATAAAAAGCACAACAATGTCTTCGACTCGAAAAAAAAATGTACCAAAACAGTCTCACCAAGTGCTTTACCGGCCAAACTATCACTGTGTGCTTTTCCTCTCCGGTGGTCACTGTTCATGAAATCCGCCAATCCACTGTTAGAATTTGCCAATTCTTCCAACAGTCCATCTGCCGTCTCTCTGGGCCTCCTTTTGCGATTCAGACGCTGTCTTGTAATCAAAGATTTTTTCCCATGCTCCATGCAAAATCTGAGGAAATCAGCAAAGCAACAAGGTTGGGTTTTTTTTAAGGGAAACATTCTTTAAAATCTATATATAAAAGCATGCCTATAGACATCACATACTACTTTTACTGATGGGGATTAGGGGTTTAAAAATAAAATGCCACAAAAACCTTAATAAAATTGATGCGCGTATCTTGTAAGTTCAATACACAATAATAAAAATAATATCACATAAAAATGGAATGATAGTCATTTACAGCGCATAAAATTTGAAACAGCTGCTTGTGATAACTTCAGGCCTGAAAACCACTTCATGACCAAAGTTTGGAAGGAAAAAATCGAAGTTTCTAGAACCCCAGCAAATAAAGATTTTATGTAACAAACCAAGAGATGCAAATAAAAATGTGTATTTTCACATCTTTTACAAAAAGTCAGATATACCACCAGTGGAGACAGAATTCAAGATTTTAAAAAATAATTTTCATGCAAATCCGATTGGGATTCCTTGAGGGTAAAAAACAAACTAACAGAGAACTCAAATTTCATTGGAGAATTCGGGGGGATTGTAGTTTACAACAGTACTAAAAAATGAGAAGAAAAAAAAATAACACCTTTTTCGCTTTAACGTATTTTATACTTTCCTTCCTTCTTGCATACACACTGCAAAAAGGGGCTACTTTGCCATTAATTTCTTGAAATTGTGCGGAGAGGGAAGATCCAGCTATTTGGAACTGGCGTAACGTGCTGAGATGTATTACTCGTTCACGGGGTCACAGAGGTCAGATGGGTTGCAACTAGGTGCACCTCTCTGAGAGTGATGAAATTGAACAGCCGTGCTAAGTGTTTGTTCAGCTAACAGAAATTCAATAACAAAACAAAATATCTGTACGAAATTAATGATGACAAACTTGCAGGCTAATATATGTACACACACAGGTTTTTTTGCATTCATTGTTGTCTAATTCTAAAAATACCAACCCATCTTTTCGCTCCTGTTTGAGGGCTGCTATTGGGCAGCGTCGTCCTGACTTCGTAATAAAGGCACACTGTTTGAAAGGGGCTGTCTTGTCCTCAAGAATGTGCCGCAGGCAGTAGTCATAGCCTTCAATGCAGTTCTGCATACATTCTCTATGACTGTACTTGCAGAAGGCCCCTTCTTGAGAAGAGCGCAATTTGACCGCATTCACCAACTGAGTCTTCAGAGAACGATTCATGGCGGCAGTCCGAAACTTATAAATCTGTAAAGAAATATATATATATATATATATATTCTATTTACAGCATGGAAAAAGAAATGTGAGGCATCATGCTGAAATCAGGTGCTCGTTAAAGTAATAAAATCGAAGAAACTGGCAATTTTCCGAACGCTTGGCAACTTTTAACGAATTTCTGTTTTTCGGCTTAACTCTTTATAACATGATCCAATTAAAACCACATTTCGGTGTGGATTTTATTGAAAACTTTGATTAAAGGTACACAAAATGAAACTTTCTGTTTTCAAGGACTCTCAATCCAAACTTTGGTGGACATTTTCTCACTGATCTTAGTTCTGAAACTAGGCAACCTCCCATTTCCTTCAATCATAACTATCTCGACTTCTATTCAAGATAAAAGAGAATTTTTTAAAAAATCAAAAGTCAATTAAGTAAGACAAGGGAAAAAGCTTTAACTTAAAGTTGATACCAAAAACCCGAATATATATGCCCAAAAATTGACGAGTGCCCGATTCCACCACGTCATGACACAAATTATGATGGGGGGGGGCATTATAAAGGGAACAATGAATTGTCAACACAGCACTGATTCATTATAAACAAAATCCTCAGTAGTGGGATAGGTAAGACATTTAATGGGTATTTTCGAAGTGACTTAGATTTCTCAGAACGTTCGGGAAAATTATAATATAAAGTTGAACTCTATTTCTACTAACGGTTTCCGATCTCGAGATTTTTTGGTTATATTTGCGAGATTTAGGCATCATCCTTTCATTCTGCCATTCTGCGAGGACTGGGAATAAGAAACATTTTTTGCATCGAATTCAATTTCTAGAACTAGAGATTTTTAAATGTCTGAATATTCCGATACTTCAGTTGTGGTTGGGGCAAAGGCAACGTTCCCGGACTAATACTTCATTTGAAAATACCTTCAAAAGGAACTGCGAGAAAACAAGACTATTTCGCATTTAGATCTAGATCTAGTCACCCAGCATACTAAAATTCTTCATGTAAAAAAACAAAAAACGAAGTGATTATTTCTCCGAACGTTCTGAGAAATAGTGCCGATCTTTATTTCTCCGAACGGTTTCTGGCTTCCGGTCTCGTGATTTTTTGCCTATTTGTGAGAGTTCGGCGTCAACTTTCATTCTGCCATTCTGCGAGGTCTGGGAAGGAGCAAATTTTTGGGTCTCGATCTTAATCTATGTCAATTTTTTAAAACGTGAAAAAGAAAGGTTTCACAACAAAATGATATCAAAATTAGAAATAAAAACAGCCCATAAAAACCACAAAAATTAACAAATAAAAGGGCGTGTGTCCACCTGTCCGAAGAAGATCGGCTGTTTTAACCCTAAATGTGCGTGTGTAATTTAAAAAATAGTACAGGATATTACGTGTAAATTAAATGGAATCACACACAAGGGGCCTGCCAGTGTCAGTACACATGTAATCGGTTTTGGAGGAACGCTCTAACATAACTTATTTAAATCTATATATATATATTTAGAATCTAATGAAGGTAGGAACATCAAATTAAATTACGTTACACTTTACAACATCCCCCCCCCCCCCCTTTCCCAAACAAAAAAACAATTATAGAAAAACAACACATCAGAAAAATAACAAGAAAAAAAAATTACACACCAACAAACTAAAACACCACAAAGAGGGAAAATAAAAGAGGAACATCAATACAAATCGTATATATAACTGTAACGTATTCAACAAATCAAAGTGGTGACAACAAGTGAGAAACAGACGAAGTGAAGCTAAGTGAACTTTCTTTCAAAAGTAAAGAGGTGCTGTTTCTTTTTTTTTTTTTATGTTGACTTTTATTCCCCGATTGAGGGACAAAAAAATGCAAAAAAATCGAGCCACAAACGAAGAGATGCTAGTTCTTAAGTTCTATGTGTCGTTATCAAAAACCTTCCATAGATCTAGATCTAGATAGCACACGAGTGAACACAACACATTAAGTTTAAGAGAAGCACCCTTCATAGGCAACACGACCACATCATATATGTGTAGCGAAAAACTGTTTGGAACTGTAGCATTTCTTTATAAATATTTACTGAGGACATCTTTTGGACCGATTGATGATACGAACAATCTTTGGAGGCCGTGAACAAACGTTCCATTACAACTGTAGCCTACTAGAAGCGTACAATTTTGTCTGTGGGCAGTGGAGAGAGAGAGAGAAAGAGAGAGAGGAGTAGCGCAAGAATTTCCGGGCGGGTGAGAATAGCCACTTTCGTAGGCTATACTTCGTGACTTTATTCCCGGTTACCAGGTCTGGGTAGCCCGGGTCTGTATACACCTCGTAAATCTTTAGTGAATTCGAAAAGTTTCAGCGCCCTCTTCATGGCTCAGGGTAGACCTAGATTCTAGATCTAGATCTAGATCTAGATCTAGATCTAGATTAGATTTAGATCTAGACAGACAGACATTTAAAATCATTTGTTTTGAGGCCTTGATCTAAATGAAGATTGCGGGTCTTTTCGATGAACGATCGTTTTTACTTCATGTTGGAGTTGGAGGAATAAATATATAAATCTAGATCTAGAATCTAGATCTATAATATATATATCTAGATCTAGATCTAACAAAGACAATTTGAAGAAAATAATGTCATAATTTCAATGGACTGGAGCAGTCACCCTCTCTATTTCTCTAAATCTAGATCTAGTCTAGATTCTATCTCTCCATCTCTCGACACTCTCTCTCTCTCTCTCTCTCTCTCTCTCTCACACACACACACACACACACACACACACACACACACACACACTAAACACACACACACACACACACACACACACACACACAGACACACACACACACATACATACACACAATGTAAACACACACGCAAACACATGATGATACACACCCACCGGGTCTGACTGGGCGTTGAAACTCTCAGAAATCACAAAAAGATTTCCCCTACCGGGTCTGTATTCTGTATAGTATAGATCTAGATTCTAGATATCTACTTCGTGACCTTATAGAGTATAGATCTGTCTAACTTACCACTTCTAGATCTAGAATCTAGACTCTACGCTTATTGGATAAAATGATCAACTCTTCGAAAACATAATCCTTCCTTCGTTCTTCAGAATTCACATTGCCAACAACAAAGCCTTGTAACTGCCCAGTAAAACCTCACAGTTGTTGGCGTCGGCTGGCTGGGGCCGACGGCTGACTGGCTGAGCTAAACTGCTGCTACACACTACACACACTAGCCTTGGCCCAGATCTACACAATGTTCGACTTCCGCAACACAATGTGTTAGGCCCAAAGAGATTGTCATTAGAACTAGAGGGTTAGCTGTGACGTCACCCTTGTTTAGAAACTAGGGCCGCGCGAGCCCGCTCAACTCGCGGCGCCGCCATCTTCGAGAGGATTAGAAACAGCGCTGTCACGCTGGGCTCCCTTGCAACGCCTATTCAAGGTCTTCTTAGAGGATGAAGCATTGAGCCCACGGTGAGCACGTATACATCAGTTTCTTTATTTTTTTTCGTTGCTGTTGTTGGTTTGTCATATAACATACTTGTGTTCCGCGCAATTTACAGATCGGCGTTATTGCGCTGCGGGTTTTAACGATCGTATTATTGCGCTGCAATCTGAAGATTGCGTTAATATTTCATATTTTTGAAATAATCTTTTTTTATGTAATTAACTTCCATTTTTATTCTTTTACTCACATCAAGGAACATTCACATATAATATAGACTCCTGTCATCAACAGATGTATGAAGAGTATTCTAAGAAGTAAGTGGCAGGATAGAATAAGAAATGAAGAGCTGTGGGGAAGGACAGGACGAAAGGAAATAATATAGAAGTAGAAATGGAACTAACAAAGTGGCGATGGATGAGACACACTTTAAGAAATCCCAGCGGAGACATTACAAACAGAGGGGAACCCACGGAGCGGCAGGGGTAGGCCACGGGAAACACGGGCGTGGAAATAAGGGACATGAGAGAGATGAAAGATCACTTGGAACAAGCTTGGAAGGATGGCCCAGGACAGAGATAAATGGAAGGAACTTGTATATTGGCCATACGTCCTGCCAGGGGTGAAAGGCATAATTGATGATGATGATGATGATGATGGCTACTTTTGACTTGCCTGGATGTATACGTAGGCCAACACTCCTTGACTGGCCGTTGATTCGAGTTCCTTGGTCTTTTCTTGCATCTGAGCAATATCTATCTATCTATTTTTTGTTTTTATAAAGTGTTTTACGGCGCTCGCAACTGCATAAGGTCATATGAGCGCGCGGGACATACCTAATATTTTCTGTTGGTAGGAAATTTTGAATTTTGCCCGGGTGGCGGCCGAAGCCTTCTCTTATCGATTTTAGACCTCCAATTGATCTTTAACGTGCGCAACTTGCACACGGGCCCTCCGAGATTTTTCGCCCTTGTCCGAGAAG